GGGAAGGAAGAAGGAAAGAAGGGAGAGACGGAAGGAAGGAAGAAGGAAAGAAGGGAGAGACGGAAGGAAGGAAGGAAGGAAGGAAGGAAGGAAGGAAGGAAGGGGAAAATGGATACAAGAAAGTTAGATGATGGTTAGTTGTGGGGCTTGAACTCAGGGCCTGGGCAACTGTCTCTGAGCTCTTTTGCTCAAGGCTAGTGTTCTGCCACTTTTTTGGGGGGGAGGGGGTCCCGTCATGGGGCCTGAACTCTGGGCCTGGGCGCTGTCCCTCAGCTCTTCAGCTAAAGGCTAACGCTCTACCACTTGAACCACAGCGCCACTTCCGTATTTTTTTGTGTGTGTGTGCTTATGTGGTGCTGAGGAATAGAACCCAGGGCCTCAGCCATGCAAGGCAAGCGCTCTACCACTGAGCCACCTTCCCAGCCCCACTTTTTTTTTTTGTCCTGGGGCTTGAACTTGGGGACTGGGCACTGTCCCTGAACCTCTTTGTGTTCAGGGATAGTACTCTCCCACTTGAGCCACATCCCATTTCTGGCTTTTGCTGAGTGGCTTAGTGAAGCGTCTCATCAACTTTCTCTGCCTGGGCTGGCTTTGAACCATGATCCTCAGATCTCAGCCTCCTGAGTAGATATGATTGCAGGCGTGAGCCACTGGTGCCCAGCTGGATGGGTAATTTGGCAAATTAGATGTATATGGATAATTAGACATATAATAGATAATTAGGAAAGTAGGTTGATAGGCAATGGATAATTTCATAGAAGATAGAAAATTAGAGAGAAAAATAAATACATTCTGGGCGCTGGTGGCTCACTGTGTAGTCCTAGGTACCCCAAGGTGGAGAACTGAGGAGCGTGATTTGAAGCCAACCTGGATAGGAAAGTCTGTGAGACTCTTATCTCCAATTAGCTACCAGAAAACCAGAGGTAGAGTTGTGGCTCAAATGGTAGAGCACCAGCCATGGACCGGTGGCTCACACCTGTCATCCCAGCTACTCAGGAGGCTGAGATCTGAGGATCTTGGTTCAAAGCCAGCCTGGGCAGGAACATTTGTGAGATTCTTATCTCCAATAAAGCACTAGAAAACCAGAAGTGGCGCTGTGGCTCAAGCGGTAGAGCGCTCACCCTTGAGCTGAAGAGCTGAGGGACAGCGCCCAGGCCCAGAGTTCAAGCCCCATGACCGACAACAACAACAACAACAACAAAAAATATATATATATAATGGATAATTACATAAATAGATAATGAGATAATCAAATAAATATGAAGGATTGATAATAATTAGCTGAAAGATCATAAGACAGATGATCGATCCACAGATAATTGAATGACAGATACTTGACAGAGGATTGCTAGCTAATTAATAGATAACAGGGACGGTAGATGGTGGATGGATAGACGATGGAGGAGAGACAGTGGATGGATGGATCCCGGGAGGAGGCCGAGGGTCCCCTGGCACCCCCTTGGCCTGGTAGTGCCCGACTCCCTCCCTGCCCAGACAGCTCCGTGCCAGGCCTGTGGGAACGCGGCCCTGGGGAGGAGCCCCAGCCGCAGAGGTAAAGCTGGGGCCCCGGGGCTGGGGCTGGGCTCCAGGGCCTCCCCAAAGGTGAGCCAAGAAGGGAACCCGCCCTTCCTACCAGGGAGGTGTGTGAGGCTAAAGCAGCAGCTGGGGAGTCTGGGCCAGAGAAGGCCTGTGATCAGAGGAGGCTGCAGACGGGAGAAGATGGCCGGGTGATGGGGAGTTAAGGTGCGGGCCGGCCGGCAGCCCGCTCTGCCTGTGCGCTGGTCCTGGCCCGGCTTGCTCCCTGGTCACTGCGTCCCTGGTCTGTTCTGAGGTGAGCTTGAATGTGTCATTCTGCACAGGGTGTTTGTCCCCAACGCCAGTGTGTGTGTGTGTGTGTGTGTGTGTGTGTGTGTGTGCGCGCGTGCGTGCGTGTGTGTGTGCACATGTGTGTGTGTGTGTGTGCACGCGCGTGCACACACGTGCTGGTCCTGAAGCTTGAACTCAGGGCCTGGGAGCTGTCCTTGGCCTTTTTCACTCAAAGCTGGCGTTCTACCACTTGAGCCGCAGCTCCGCTCCTGGCTTTTCTCAGTGGTTCATGGGAGATAAGAGGCTCACAGACTGTTCTGCCTGGGCTGGCTTTGAACTTTGATCCTCAGGTTTCAGCCTCCTGAGTAGACAGGTGGGAGCCACCAAGGGGCCTGGTTAGGATCGCCTCCAATTCCACCAGGAATGAGTATGAGCTCTCTGCCTTGAACTTCATGGCCGGCGCTCACCCCCTGTTCCTTCCCGCGCTTGGCCAGCTTGCGGGGACTCCTCTAGCGATGGTCCTTTAGCACAAGCCCTCCCTGTGACAGATCTCCTTCCTGCTAAGCGTCCATGGCCCTGCGATCTCAGTTTGGAACTCTGGCGCTCCGGGGAGGGGCTCTGCTCCTGTGGCCACCGGTCCCTTTGTCCACGATGGGATGGATGAGGGCCGCTTGCCTTTGTTTTCTGTGCTTTGTTTCTAGTTGATAAATAAAGCTGGGAGCCAGTGGCTCACACCTGTCATCCCAGCTACTCCAGTGGCTGAGACCTGGGGATTGCCGCTCTAAGCCAGCCCAGGCAGGAAAGTCCATGAAACTCTTATCGCCAATGAACCACCAGAAAACTGCAGGTGGCATTGTGGCTCAAGGGGTAGAGCTTTCGCCTGGAACAAAAGAGCTCAGGGATAGTGCCAAACCCTGAGTTCAAGCCCCATGACCAGCACACACGCATGCGCGTGCGCACACACACACACACACACACACACACACACACACATAATTGTTATTATAAAGGCGATATACAAAGGGGTTATGGTTAGAAAAATCAGGTAATAGGGACTGGGAAGGTGGCTTAGCGGAAGAGTGCTTACCTAGCATGCATGAAGCCCTGGGTTTAATTCCTCAGTACCACATACACAGAAAAAGCTGGAGGTGGTGCTGTGACTCATGGTAGAGCACTAGTCTTGAGGACAGAGGGGCTCAGGGACAGCGCCAGGCCCTGAGTTCCAAGCTCCAGAACTGGAAATAAAAAATAAAAAGTCAGGTAATGAGTACATTTATTTTCTTTTATTCTGCTAATCCTGGGGCTTAAACTCCAGGCCTGGGCACTGTCCCTGAGCTTCTTTTGCTCAAGGCTAGCACTCTACCACTTGAGCCATAGCACCACTTCTGGCTTTTTCGGTGTATGTGGTGCTGAGGAATTAAACCCAGGGCTTCATGCATGCTAGGTGAGCGCTCTACCACTGAGTCATATTTTCAGCCCTCTTACTGTTATTATAAAGGTGTTGTAGTGGGGATACAGTTACACAAGTCAATTAAAGAGCACATTTCCTTTTTTTTCCTATTTTTTTCTTTTTTCTTTTTTTTTTGGGTCCAGTTGTGGGGCCTGAACTCTGGGCCTGGGCACTGTCCCTCAGCTCTTCGGCTCAAAGCTAGCTCTCTACCACTTGAACCATAGTGCCACTTCCGGCTTTTTTCTTTTTGCTTATGTGGTGCTGGGGAATCGAACCTAGGGCCTCAGGCATGCAAGGCAAGCGCTCTACCACGGAGCCCCAAGAGCCCATTTCTTTTGGGGCAATGTGATCCCTTCCCTCACTTTCTCCCAGTTAATTATTTTTGTTTTTGTTAGTCCTGGGGCTTGAACTCAGGGCCTGGGCACTGTCCCCAAGCCATTTGGTGCTCAAAGTTAGCACTCTACCATGTGAGCCATAGTACCACTTCCGGTTTTCTGGTGGTTCACTGGAGATAAGAGTCGCTCGGACTTTCCTGCCTGGGCTGGCTTTGAACCATGATCCTCAGATCTCAGCCTCCTGAGTAGCTAAGATGACAGGCATAAGCCACTGGCACCCAGTTGCAGTTATTTTTTACAGAATTTCATATACTTTACTTGGGCTAACCTTGAGATTATGATCCTCCTACTCCTATTTCCTAATTAGCTGGCTGTTTCATTCTGTATTTATTTATTTATTTATTTATTGTCGGCCATGGGGCTTGAACTCTGCGCCTAGGCGCTGTCCCTGGGCTCTTCAGCTCAAGGCGAGTGCTCTACCACTTGAGCCACAGTGCTACTTCTGGTTTTCTGAGTGGTTTATTGGAGATCAGAGTCTCACGGACTTTCCTGCCTAAGCTGGCTTTGAACTGTGATCCTCAGAACTCAGCCTCCTGAGTGGCTAGGATTACAGGCGTGAGCCACCGGCGCCTGGCTCTTTCTGTATATTCTCACCAACTACAATTAGGCCTTTTAACCCATCTATATTGCCTCTTTGAATCTGGTATTGTGAGCAGGGCAGTTTCTATCTCTCTGCAAAGACTTTTTGCTGAGCACTGTGTCCTGCTAGTGACTCAGGAGGCCGAGATCTGAGTGAAGATCATGGCTCCAAAGCCAGGCCAAGGAGCAACGTCTGTGCAATTCTTCCTTTCTTCCTTCCTTCCTTCCTTTCTTCCTTCCCTTCTTCCTTTCCTTCCTTCTTCCTTTCCTTCCTTCCTTCTTTCTTTCTTTCTTTCGTCCTGTTTTGTGTCTTGAACTCTGGGCCTGGGCGCTGTCCTTGCGCTCTTCAGCTCAAGGTGAGTGCTTTACCACTTGAGCCACAGCGCCACTTCCAGTTCTCTGGTGGCTGAGCCACCGGTGCCCAGCTTTGTACAATTCGTATATCTAGCTAACCAGTAGAAAGCCAGGAGTGCAGCTGTGGTTGAAGTGGTAGAACACCAGCATTTGAACGAGAGAGCTCAGGGACCGCGCCCGGGCCCTGAGTTCAAGACCCAGGACTGACACATATATAATTGTACAGTTTAATTTGTATGTATATAAATAGTTTAATTTGTACATATAGTTTAATGTATATATAGTTTGATTTCCTTTTTCATGTACTGGCAGATGAACTAGTTGCAGCGGGTTCGGGTGAAGGACCATCGCCTCTGTCCCTCCGTCCACACGGCCCTGGCTCTCCTTCCCAGTCCCCTCCACCGGACATGGCCACCATGCCAGACCCCAACTCCACTTCCCTGTCCGAGTTCATCCTGCTGGGCTTCTCGGCCTTCCCCCGCCTGCAGCCCCTCTTCTTCCCGCTCTTCCTGCTCATGTACCTCTCCACGTTGCTAGGCAACCTGCTCATCATGGCCACCGTGGGCCTGCAGCGCGGCCTCCACACGCCCATGTACCTCTTCCTCTGCACCCTGTCCCTGTCCGAGCTCCTGTACACGGTGGCCATCATCCCGCGCATGCTGGCCGACCTGCAGGCCGCCCGCCACGCCATCGCCCTGCCGGCCTGCGCCTGCCAGATGTTCTTCTCCTTCTCCTTCGGCTTCACCCATTCCTTCCTGCTCACCGTCATGGGCTACGACCGCTACGTGGCCATCTGCCACCCCCTGCGCTACTCCGCGCTCATGGGCCCGCGCGGCTGCGCCTGCCTGCTGGGCTGCTCCTGGGCCGGCGGCTTCCTCATGGGGCTGGTGGTGACGGCCGCCATCTTCCACCTCCACTTCTGCGGGCCCAATCGCATCCGCCATTTCTTCTGCCACGTGCCGCCGCTGCTGAAGCTGGCCTGCGGCCACGGCGTGCTGCCCGTGGCCAGGGCTGTGGGGCTGGTGTGCATCGCCGCCCTGCTGGGCTGCTGCCTCCTCATCCTGCTGTCCTACGCCTCCATCCTGGGCACCATCCTGAGCATGCCCTCGGCCGAGGGCCGCCGCAAGGCCTTCTCCACCTGCGCCTCCCACCTCACCGTGGTCGTCGTGCACTACGGCTTCGCCTCGGTCATCTACCTCAAGCCCAGGGGCCCCCCGGCTCTGGAGGGGGACACCCTGATGGGCATCACCTACACCATCCTCACGCCCTTCCTCAGCCCCATCATCTTCAGCCTCCGGAACAAGGAGCTCAAAGCCGCCATGAAGAAGACCTTCCTGCACAAATTCAGTCTCCGGCACAGGTGAAGAGGCCGGGCCTCCGGTGCGAATGGCTTGGGAAGGAGAGACAGGCACTCACCCTAGGCATGAGGTCTCATTATATGCACCAGTCCTCGGGCTGGAACTCGGGGCCCGGGCACTGTTGTCCTTCAGCCTTTTCCCTCAAGGCTGGTGCTCTACCACTTGAGCCACAGCTCCACTTCCTGCTTTTTGGGTAGTTAGTGGGAGAGAAGGGTCTCATGGGGTTTCCTGCTTGAAGGGGCTTTCAACTGTGATCCTCAGACCTCAGTCTCCTGAGTAGCTGGGATGATACGTGTGAGCCACCAACGCTCAGCCGTGGGTCTTGAACTCTGGACCTGGGAGCTGTCCCTCAGCTCTTCAGCTCAAGGTGAGCTACCTCTTGAGCCATAGAGCTACTTCCTATTCTAGGGTTTTAGGGTTGATTTGCACTCTGTTATTGGGATTGTGAGTTCCATTTCCTTGATGACAAAGAGAAGGCATTCAATGTTCCTCTTTTGTGTGTGTGTGTGTGTGTGTGTGTGTGTGTGTGTGTGTGTGTGTATGTGAGATGTGGGGCCTGAACTCTGGGCCTGGGCGCTGTCCCTGATCTCTTCAGCTCAAGGCGAGTGCTCTACCACTTGAGCCTCAGTGCCACTTCTGGCTTTTTCTGCATATGTGGTGCTGAGGAATCGAACCCAGGGCCTCAGGCATGCAAGGCAAGCGCTCTACCACTGAGCCACCTTCCCAGCCCCCTCAATGTTGCTCTTGGAGAAGGAATTTCCTTGACAAAGAATGTCCGTGTGGATTCCCCGTCACCAGAGAGAAAGTCAGTGTGTTGTGGTTTAGTTCATGAAATGTAGATTACTTTCTAAAATCCAGAGGAGGCTGAAAGGCTGGCATGACAGCTCAGTGACCCAGGAGGCCGAGCTCTGAGGACCGTAGTTCAAAGCCAGCCTGGGCAGAAAAGTCTGAGAGACTCTTATCTCCAGTTAACCGGCAAAAAAAGCTGGAAGTGGAGCTGTGGTTTGAGTGATTCAGCCGTAAGGGGAAAAGCTCAGGGACGGAGCTCAGGCTTTGAGTTCCAGCCCTAATTACTAGCACGCAAAAAAAAAAAAAAAAAAAGATAATTTGGATCTTTATATGCATCTTATGATCACTCTATTGTTTCATAAATATAGATACAGTTTACAATAAAGCACATGATTGTGAATGAATTGCATTGCGTTAAACAGTATTCGTCTTGATTCTCGAATGCGTGGCGGCCACTTAAGTCGGGTGCCCTAATGTGCCGCCTCACCGCTCCTCCTGCTCCCTGAGGACCAAACATTTCTTTTCCTTTTTTTGTCTCTAAAGACCAAAACTAGAAGCCATCATTAATTTTTTTTCTGGTGATAGAAAATAGGGATAAGTGTGAACCCTCGGTGTACGCCCAGCCAGCATTTTGGGGGTGATCACGTACACCACTCGGTGGAGCTCCTTCTCCTGGGTTATCACCGCCCCCCATCTCCTGTCTTGAACCAGCTTCCACGCTCTGGACGTTTCCCAGCCCCGCAGTTCTGGCTGTGTGCCATTCTGCGTTCAGTGCTCCTTCGGGTCGCGTTCCTTGGTCTCCCCAAGGCTGAGAGCTCAGAGGGGTGATTAAGGAAACTGTCTACAGAGGTGGGCGGTGGGCAGAGACCGCCAGGCTGGTGTGGCACCGCCTCTGAGCTAATCCAGACCAGGCGTTGCCATGCGAACTGCCAGACTCTAAGGCCAGACCAACACAGATCCCAAAACCTGAGGATGCGCCCATTCCTCCCGTGTGATCCCATGGGATTTGCCCCAAAGCAGACCCATTATCTTCAGTACTTGCATTGTCTCTAGGTGACTTGGAATAATTAGCACAGTGTAAGCCCGAGCCAGGGACTCCCACCTCTCGTCCCAGCTACTCTGGAGGCTGAGATCTTGAGGATTTCAGTTCGAATCCAGCCCCAGGCAAGAAAAGCCTAGGAGAGTCTTCTCACCACTTCTAGAAAACTGGAAGTGGAGCTGTGGCTCAAATGCTAGCCTTCAGCGAAAAGAGCCAAGAGACATTATTTATTGCCCAGGACCTGAGTTCAAACTCCACAACACACCCCCTCAAAAAAAAAAAAAAGAAGAAGAAGAGAGAAAAGACCAGTTGACAGGAAGAGCCAGACTGTTGGCCTGAGCGGTAGCTCTTTCTAACTTTTATTGCATAAAACAAGAAAATAAACTTCAGGTTGTTTTCATTACTATGCAAAATTGTGTAAAGTTTTACAATCTCAGCGCTCCATACTGGGTCGTATCAGCCATACTCTTCCATTTCACATTGCATTGTGGGTTTGTGTGGTTTGTGTGTGTGTTGTGTCGGGTGTGTGTGTGTGTGTGTGTGTGTGTGTGTGTGTGTGTGGACACTAGTCCTGGGGCTTGAACTCCAGGCCTAGGCACTGTCCCAGAGCTACTTTTGCTCAAGGCTAGCTCTCTACCACTTGAGCCATAGCACCACTTCCAGCTTTTTCTGTGTGTGTGGTGCTGAGGAATCGAACCCAGGGCTTCACGCACACCAGACAAGCACTCTACCACTGAACCACCTTCCCAGCCCCATGTCTCTTAATCTTGACAAAGCAAAGACAAACCTCAGGCTCTGGTGTCTGGTGCCTGTCATCCCAGCTGCTGAGGAGGGCTGAGAGCTGGCACCATAGCCAAAGCCAAAAACACACGGCACGCTCTTATCTCCAAAGAACCACCAAAAAGCTGGAAGTGCAGGGCTGGAAAGGTGGCTCAGTGGCAGAGCGTGTGCCTGGCGTGCAGGAAGCCCTGGGTTCGATTCCTCAGTACCACTTACACAGAAAAAGCCAGAAGTGGCGCTGTGGCTGGAGTGGTATAGAGTGCTAGCCTTGAGCAAAAGAAGCTCAGAGACAATACCCAGGCCCCGAGTTCAAGATGAAAACAACAAAAAAAGATAAGGGGGAGTGTGGTTCGCATGGGAGCCCAGAGCCTGTTTTGAGGAGAGGAATGGGGTGAGGAGTAGCAGGGTGCCGGGTCATTACCGCTTCTCTGGGTAGAGTTTGTGCAGGAAGGTCTTCTTCATGGCGGCTTTGAGCTCCTTGTTCCGGAGGCTGAAGATGATGGGGCTGAGGAAGGGCGTGAGGATGGTGTAGGTGATGCCCATCAGGGTGTCCCCCTCCAGAGCCGGGGGGCCCCTGGGCTTGAGGTAGATGACCGAGGCGAAGCCGTAGTGCACGACGACCACGGTGAGGTGGGAGGCGCAGGTGGAGAAGGCCTTGCGGCGGCCCTCGGCCGAGGGCATGCTCAGGATGGTGCCCAGGATGGAGGCGTAGGACAGCAGGATGAGGAGGCAGCAGCCCAGCAGGGCGGCGATGCACACCAGCCCCACAGCCCTGGCCACGGGCAGCACGCCGTGGCCGCAGGCCAGCTTCAGCAGCGGCGGCACGTGGCAGGCGAAATGGCGGATGCGATTGGGCCCGCAGAAGTGGAGGTGGAAGATGGCGGCCGTCACCACCAGCCCCATGAGGAAGCCGCCGGCCCAGGAGCAGCCCAGCAGGCAGGCGCAGCCGCGCGGGCCCATGAGCGCGGAGTAGCGCAGGGGGTGGCAGATGGCCACGTAGCGGTCGTAGCCCATGACGGTGAGCAGGAAGGAGTGGGTGAAGCCGAAGGAGAAGGAGAAGAACATCTGGCAGGCGCAGGCCGGCAGGGCGATGGCGTGGCGGGCGGCCAGCAGGTCGGCCAGCATGCGCGGGATGATGGCCACCGTGTACAGGAGCTCGGACAGGGACAGGGTGCAGAGGAAGAGGTACATGGGCGTGTGGAGGCCGCGCTGCAGGCCCACGGTGGCCATGATGAGCAGGTTGCCTAGCAACGTGGAGAGGTACATGAGCAGGAAGAGCGGGAAGAAGAGGGGCTGCAGGCGGGGGAAGGCCGAGAAGCCCAGCAGGATGAACTCGGTCACTGTGGAGCGGTTGGCGCCCTGCATGGAGCAGGGCTGCGGGTGACAGGGGACCGGGCAGCTGCTGAGGGTGGCCCGAGTCGGCTAGCACTTATTCTGATCCCGCGTCGATCGTCAGGCTGTGATGGAAGACCAGGACCGTTATTTTGATCATTAGTATTATCATTATGTTATTATGATTAACCTCCTTTTTATTTGAAGGCTGTTGACATACTCTGAGAACATCAGAACTTACCAAAACAAAGAAAAATTGTTCAGCCGGGCACTGGTGGCTCACGCCTGTCAATCAAACTACTCAGGAGGCTGAGGTCTGAGGATCACAGTTCAAAGCCAGCCTGGGCAGGAAAGTCCGGGAGACCCTTCTCTCTAATGAACCACCAGCAAGTTGGAGGTGGTGCTTAGGCTGAAAGTGGTAGAGTGCTAGCCTTGAATTAAGATGCTCAGAGACAGCGCCCAGGCTCCAAGTTCAAGTCCCAGGACTGCCAAAAAGAAAAAGAAGAAGAAAAAAAAAAGAAGGGCTGGGAAGGCAGCTCAGTGGTAGAGTGCTTGCCTTGCTTGCATGAAGCCCTCAGTTCGATTCCTCAGTACCATATACAAGGGGTAGAGTGCTAGCCTTGAGCAAAAGAAGCTCAGGGACAGTGCCCAGGCCCTGAGTTAGAGTCCCAGGATCAGAAAGACAGAAAGAAAGACAGAAAGAAAGAAAGAAAGAAAGAAAGAAAGAAAGAAAGAAAGAAAGAAAGAAAGAAAGAAAGAAAGAAAGAAAGAAAGAAAGGAAGGAAGGAAGGAAGGAAGGAAGGAAGGAAGGAAGGAAGGGAAGGAAGGAAAGGAAGGAAGAAAGGAAGAAAGGAAGAGAGAAAGAGAGAGAGAAAAGAAAGGAAAAGAAAAGAAAGAAAGGAAGGAAGGAAGGAAGGAAGAAAGGAAGGGAGAAAAAGAGAAAAGAAAGGAAAAGAAAAGAAAAGAAAACTGTTCAAGTGAGGCACCGGTGGCTCAGGCCGGCAAGCACAGCTTCTCAGGAGGCTGAGATCTGAGGATCGTGATGCAAAGTTAAGCCAGGCAGAAA